CCCCAAAACCCCAAAACCCCAAAACCCCAAAACCCCTTTAAAGATAATTTATATTGAACTTTTTATATCCCTGACAAAAGTGAATGTTAGAGGCTTACTCTTCTATGTTCAAGTGGTACCTATCTGCCCTCTTGTTCATAAGCTTCAAAGCATCATTATAGCGTCTACGGTTAATTGTGAATGGGTCTACACTTGCAGCAAAATGGTCTCTGTCTTCTTGGAGTTCTAAAATAATCACACAACATTACCTTGCAACTTTAGGAATTGTGTATCTCTGAGCCTGATCTGTGCCAAACTTATGTTCTGTTGGGCTACCTTGGAAAACACTTCTAAAGATTAAGTGCTAGAGAGTACTCTTTCTCTCAAGTGAATTGAGCTGATTCTTTCTCTTCTCTTCAATATATCTAGCCATTGCAACCTTTGCTCTCTTTAGCTGTAAATCTTGGGAGAATATTTTGGTAGAACTCTTCATTTTCCTTTGCATTTCAGACGTATTATAAGTCCTTTGGTCCAGTAATAATTTTTTGTACCTAGAAAGTTAAACTGAAGAGTTTACTTCTCCAATTTGGCTTGATGCTTTCTATCATATTCGCTAAAATCTCTCTTCTGTCTCTTAAGGTCATCCTGAGTTTCCTCCATAGCCTTCCTGATGAAAGACTGGGACTTTTCCCTGACTTGTTTAAGAATAAGCTTATTGGCTTCCTTTTTACGTTCATATTCTTCTGGATTGATCTCGTAGCCGTACTTGTCGCTAGTAAAGCTATTTATTATCCCCAGCTACGCTCTTGGAACGTCTAAAATTTATAAGACATATACCTAGGCATTTGATTATGAGTCTCCTTGATTGGTAACGGGTTCATATACTCACGAATCTTGTCAGAGTAAATATCAGTCACTCTAGCTTGTCTAAAGAGTCATGAATTCTATTACCTTAAACCCTTTGTTATGTTTGAATCACTCCTCTTTCTGGTTGACTTAGATAAAGAGTTCTTCCAGATACCCGTAGAAGTCTTCTGAGGTGACGATTTTATACTCCCATTGCCTTTGAAGTCAAAAATGAAATCATGAGACTTTTCCATAGGTTTGTCTCGACCAGTGGAGAAAGTCTTTTGCATTGAGATTCTCAGCAATTTCTTGGTGTCAATTTTCTCAAATTCCTTTTGCTGTTTCTTCTTAAACTTCAAAGTCTAAATAGGTATAAGCCATACTACTCTACCGGATAGTTCTTTGCTTCTCCTATAAAAAGTTATTATTTGTATAGGATTTAAACCTGAATACTATACTTAATCCGTTGTTAGAAGGCATAACATACTTTGAAAATGAAATATCTGTAAGTCTAATTTTAGTTTCATACCATTTAGTTCTCGTCTCAACTGCTCTAATATCATCCTATTTTATTTAGTCAATTTTTTTAATAAAATGAGGGGTTTTGGGGTTTTGGGGTTTTGGGGTTTTGGGG